GCGTTTGTTGGCGTTAGTTTATGGCCGGAACGCATGTAAACACGTGGCCACGTGGCAATGTGGAAATGTGGCAATGGGGCTACTTGCCAATCCAGAATCCCGGCCATTCCAAACCCAGATATGGAGATTCAGACAAAGTCCCAGCTGGGGATCAACACCAAACACGTAATAATACTCTCTTCGAGACATGCAGAGAAATAAATAAGGGTTCTAGGACTTTTCTTTAATATTTTCTGATATTTTTTAGCAGTGTAGACCACCTTCTTCAAGTATTTTTTTTTTACGACTCCCAGTCATATTTATAGAGAGAGAGTCCTGAGGCATGCCACTGCCGAATTAGGCTAAAGGATGGATCTGTGTGAAAGTCAAGGACCTATACCGACTAGCATTAATTATGCTTATTTATTTAATGTGACAAAGGGCCCAGCTCTGTCTTGACTTTGTCCTTGTCCAGCCAGCTCATTATCGTTGGCATCCTGGGATCGAATCAATTGAATTAATGCGACCAATTGCATATGGAAATGCCATAAAAGCTACAGGATATCTCTGTGTGTGTGTGTATTTGCGGTGGGAATTACGGCAACGTAAAGTGATTACGTTATGATGTGCGTGGCTTTAGCTTGAGGTCCTTCTCCGTCCGGCAAACTGTTTACGTTATGCAATCAGGATAAGGCTCAAGTCCAATAGTCCAACCGACCGACAAACCGTCGCACTTTATGAGGAAATAAAAGTTGGCGGGGAAAACAACAAGACCATAAAATTGGAATTAAAATAAAATAAGCACAAGAGAAGCTTAAGCATCATCTTCAATAGTAGCTACTGTTGCATAAAAATGAAATAAAAAGTGGATATTTGCATAGTATGTATGTACGGTTTTCTGGATAAACATAAAAATAAGTCGATTAAGTGGCCGACAAATGAGGCCTGTTGCTCCTCCTGTTGACCTGCAAATGGGTTTACTAATTTTAAGGACATGCTCCCCCCCTCCCTCAGAAAGGATATATCAACCACCAACTTAAGACCCTGAAAGCCCAACACGATTTTCCAGAAAAATACCAAAGTGGCGAGCATAAATAAAAAGGGAAATAAGAAATACAAAATACCAGCAATATTTCCACCACATACGTGAGCTTTTTCCAAAAAAAAAAAGAAGTATATATAAAGAGAAGAAAAACAAGAAAAGGAAAGGAAAATCTCAGCCATTATTTGGCATTATTGAAGTAAACGAATTTTCAAATGCATGGCCCGGCCACAGCGACAAGGCAAATGTCTTTAAAATCGACCAAATTGGAAACGAGATTAAAAGGCAAGACGACTCGAGGCAGACACAACTCGCCAGCCGGCAGCCAGCAGACGGCAGAAGACAGCCGACAGGATATAGGATTCCCAGATACTTGCCGGCACGTCCTTGCTGCCGCCGTCCAGTGCCAATAAAGCGCAACAAAGAGCCCGGCCAAGAGCAAGTCATGTCAATATTTTGACTGTGTTTTTAGCCACCACGGCTGGCTGGCTGTCTTTTGTGGCACTATTGTGGCAGTAATTTTGTTTATAATTCACTACACTGATAGAATTTTATTTTTTATTTAATTATTAAGGGGAGTTTTCTTTCAAAAATTAAGTACAGGTGAGAACTATATGATAACTGGTATAACTAGGCCTTTAAGATCTTAGGTATCTTAAGCATCTAGTCTTCTTTGCTTGGTTTTCTTTTAATCTTTATCCCTTCAGACGCTCTTTTCTTTCCTTAGTTTCTAATTTTAATTTTTAATTGTAGTATTCATTTATTTTTTTTTAAGGTATTTTTAAATGAGTATAGAGTCTATAATGTTTGAAACTATATGATATACGATACTAATAGGCCTTCAAGATTATACATAGGTATATTAAGAAAGTGTCTTAAGTCTGTTTAGGTTTCTTTTCAACTTCTCTAACCTTAGTATCTATTTTTTAAGGTTTTTTTTTCATGATAATAAATTCTGTAGCGTTTAAAACTATGTACATGATATCCGGTACAAATAGCCCTTTGAGATTCTCAGTATCTCAGTTAAGGGTTCCTGCTATAGACTCTCTTTTTTGGATACGAAGGTCTATCTTATGCCTAGATTTTATTCTTAAGAGCTTATATTATTTTTTTAGCAATTTTGGAGTCTATAATATTTGAAACTATGCTATACGGTTTTAATAGTCCTCTGAGATCTGAAGTGGCTAGTCTTCTCAGTTAAGGTTTCCTTCTATTATCGTTCTAGATTATCCTAACCCTAGCTTCTAATTTGTGTTCTATAATGCTTGAAACTATATGATATCCAGTACTAACGAGCCTTGGAATCAACCTATATTTTATTCTTAAGGGCTATCTAAATAAACAAATACAGACTCATATGATTTCCGTAAAGCTTGAAACTACATATATGATATTCGATACAAATAGGCCTTTGGGACCTTAAGTTTCCTAAATACCTAGCCATCTTGACCTTAGGCCATAAAGGTCTATCCTATGCCTTATTTCTATTCTTTATTAAAGAATTCATGGAATATTTCAAAATATGTTTCTTTCAAAAAACAAAAATAAAGAGTATATAATGATAGAATTCATATTACCCTAACTTTGTGGCCTTTTTAGGTCCATTTCTTCTAATAATTTCCTTAGAAATTCCCCAATTATATTCCTTCCTGAAAAGTCTACCCTGTAGACCATCCTTGAGATGTCCTCCTTGCAACAGTTCCGCTTGCCCTACCCCAAGCCTAGCCTGTTGTAAGTCTATCCTGACCTGTCCTCATCCTCCCAGCCTGTCCAGAGAGACTGCCAGAGTCCATGGTCCGGAGGTGGCCATGCGCGTCCAGCGTTAGGAATATTGATGCCCATGGAGCGTGCCGCTGGGAATGCCATGTGCCAGTTGACCATGCCACCAAAACGACCAACAAAAAAAATACAAAAAAAAGAAAAGAAAATAGACGAAAAAAATAAAAAGAAAGAGAATAAGAAAGGTTGTGGCAAAGTAAGCTATGCCGCAGCCAGGGCATGTTAAACACTAAAGAGCCCATCCACGGCACTCTGGCCTTCGGCCAGAATCCATCTTCGGTGGCCAGGACGACATAAATTAGCGGCAGCCTGTGCAGTTCTCTTTCGCAGATTCTACACTTGAAGAAAGTCCTTGAAAAATTTGAAGATCTGTTTTAAAAAATAGCAATAATAGTTGCATACTTTTAGGCAAAAATGAGAAAAACTTGAAAATAAAAATTAGAGAAATATTTTTAATTATTTTCCAAGTGCATCTCTTACACCCGCTTGATTTTTTTTTTGTTTTGGCCCAAAAGTTCTGCGGCTAGTTGCCTCATATTGCGGCACGCAGTTTATCAATGTGTCGGGTCAGCTACGCTGCGTACGCGGCGTGGAGCTTTTAGCGGACACGGAGATGGGTAACTACAGGGGGGAGGTGGTAGTACTATGTTTAAGAGAAAGGAGAAGACGGCTGAATGCGGCTGATGCTGATGCTGCTGCTGCTGCTGCTGCCGCTGTTGCACATCACGTGACTTGCCAGCCAAATGAAATTCCTAGTCGGCGCCACATGGCGCAAAACGCTTCTGTAATTGAGTTGCCGTCACATACACATGTCTGAGTGGGCGTGCTAGTGTGTGCCAGTGTGTTAGTTAGTATGTGTATTAGTATGCATGTAATTACTTAAAATTCCTTTAAGGCACCAGACTAAAATTCTCAAGTTCAGTTCTCAAGCCAGGTCTCCTCTTGCGGCATTTCATTAGGGCGCCCTGTTTATTAATCCTATTGACTTTACGCCAGCCAAAGTGATTTTAAGATGATAATAGACTAGTCATCCTTGCAATTATGAATTATGGCACATGCTTGAATAATACAATGTATTGTAATGGCATCATCATATATATCTCTTAATTAAAGAGACCATAATCAGGTTTAATTAATTGAGAATTTATATATTGTATCTAAAATACAATACCATCCATATCCTTAGAATTTCAAAGCTCTTCACAGTTGGGGAAGCTCTGTTTACTTCAAGCCTTCCCCAACCTCCCCAAATCAAGGAAACAAAGAGAGCCCCAATCAAAGAGATCCACGGAGAGCGAGGGTCAATAAGAGACTAGTAGCCTGTTGAAAAAACATAGCATGTATTTCGGCAAAGGACAAAGCCAATTGGAGAGAGAACTCACCAAAAAACCACTCAGTACAGAGAAAGGAAAAAAAAAGAGTAAGTACAAGTAGTGATAGCAACTTTTATTTTTAATAAAAAATAAAAAAATGTATTTAGAATTATAAAAAAAATAATTGTTGGTTGCCATAAATGAGATAATTTTGTTCAATATAATATTTAAAATTAATATTAAAGATTTATAATGAATTATTTATTATTAAAATCAATCTATTTAAAAATAATTTACTTATCATTCTTATAATTTTCCTATTACATAAAAAAAAGGACTCACCTCCAAAGCAAGAGCGTAAGAAAAGGACCAAACAGTTAACGGTACTTTCCGCTGCCCACGCTCTGCTCACCGAATGTGGCCAATCTTCCTGCGCACTCACACACGTACGCGAGATCGAGTACCCGACGCGTCTTCCGCCATTTTTTATATTTTACTTTGAAATTTATTAAAAAGCATTAAACACTTGCACTTATTTATTTAATATATATAACTCACTTTTAAAAACTATCATTTACAAAAATATTAACCGAAATATTTATTTAAAAAACAGAAAAAATAAGAAACAACAAACGAACTCGATCTTGTGAACTGGCCGAGAGCGAAAGTGCGAATGAGCGCAGGTGGAGCCATGGAGAAGTTGAGGACTTGGCGAGCCTGCCAAAGCAAGAGAGAGAAAGAGAGTGGGAAAAGCAATCCCCAAAAAAAGGAGAACTGGCCGCCAAGAGAGGCAAAGTTTGAAAGCAACTTTACTCGCCTTCAAAAATGCAGTTTTGAAATCATTTTATTAAGAAATCCCCTTCCCCACCCCATAAAGGACATTTCGATTTTGTTGATCATTTTTTTTTATTGAACACGAAATAATTTTTTTTTATTTATGTGTTTGTATAAGTCCAAATCAGTTACGCCATTTGGAAATGTCAGATCGGTTCGAATTTTATTCGAAATCCAAGGAATGATTCGTTTAAATCTAAAAGAAAGATACAATTAAAAATATATTTTATTATTTAAAAAATTCAAACTTACCTAAGTGTATCTTTTTTTTTTTTTATTTGTATAAGTCCAAATAAGTCAAGCCATTTGGAAATGTCAGATCGGTTCGAATGGAATATGAAATCCAAGGAATAATACGTTTAAATCTAAGAGAAAGATATAATTAAAAATGTATTTTAATATTTAAAAAATAAAAACTTACCTAAGTGTATCTTGTTTTTATTTATTTGTATAAGTCCACATTACTTAGTTAAGCCATTCGAAAATGTCAGATTGGTTCGAATGGAATATGAAATCCAAGGAACAATACGTTTAAATCTAAGAGAAAGATATATTTAAAAAAAAAAATATTTTAATATTTGAAATAAAACCTTACCTAAGTGTATATTTTTTTTAATATTTTGTATCAGTTAAGAGGAAGCATTTTGAAAAGGTCAGATAGTCAAGCCAACTAATGATATCTGATGAGTGTCTTCAGCGTCTTCTGTAGTGTCTTCGGTGTGTATGAGACCCAGTCACAAATGGTCAAAAAATAAGTTTAAAAGATGTGTATGAGACCCAGTCACAAATGGTCAAAAAATAAGTTTAAAACGACGCCTGTTTGTTGCTTCTGAAAATGAAAAAAAGATTTTTTAAAATATTAAAAATTCGTTTTAAATATAATTTGATCCTATATGTGTATAAGAAAGCTAATGTACTGTAAATATCAACAAATCAGTGCCTGCTTATTTATTTAAGCTTAGTTGATAATAAAACCGCGACATGCTTCATCCTCCCTGTAATATTAGTTTTTAATTATGCCACATTTGATTGCATTAACTTGCCCACACAGTTGTTTACTAAAAAAAAACAAAAAAAAAACACCCTACGAGACGTGAAAATACTGCAATGAAATAAATAATAACCACAAAAATGCAATTTAATACAAATCTAATTCGAGCCCATCAAGCTCACCAGCTGTCCGCGTGTAAAATAATCCACACCCACACTCCACACACACAAAAAAAAAAAAAAAAACTGGCGATTTTTAATTGAAAGCGCGACTTTTGGGCTTTGGAACACACAGACAAATAGCAACAGCAGCAGCTGCATAAATTTCATTAGTAAACTTTTAATTAGAAAAATTTTAGCATGAATTTAATTAGTGCAGATACACACACACACATATACACACATTTGTGCAGTTTTATACACAAAAGCCAAAAATTAAATTTAATAAAATGAGAATGAAAATGAAAATGAAATGCAACTGTCCAACACCAAACACCTGACAACTGGCTGACAACACTGGAGAGGAAAAAAAAAGGTCAAAACTAAATATATACAATTTACAAAATAATTTGCAAAAAGTTCTTCAACCGAAAAATATTTTCAAATAGAATTTTAGATACCTTTTAATTATCTTACAAAAAAAAAAAAAAAAAAAAATAGGGAAAACCTGGTACTAACAATAACTGACGACCAAAAACCAAAACATTTCATAATTGCCACCCTAAAAAGCAGGTAGGGATGTGTGGTGGCATGGAAGGGGGGGCTATGCACCGTGTAATTATGTCTTGGCAGATTCGGCCAACTAATTGCCCAGGTAACAACCCACGACAGCGACGACAACGACAGCGACGACGACAACAAAACCCAACACAAGGCGGGTGCAGTGCGATGCTTTGGCTTTTACTCACTGAAAGGAGCATGGAGGTGGTGAATGGAGGAACGCAGAAAGGACCAATTATGTGGCCAACACAAATGCAGGATGACACACACACACAGACACCGACAGACAAACAGCTGATCACCGGAAGCCAGGATAAAAGACATAATGCTACTTGCTACTGCAGCGAAATATTCCTAATTATGACGGCATGGTCATGACGAGCATTAGAAATGCCAATCAGAGGATGTGCGACACAATAAGCCACATAACAGTTGACAGATTAGGGTTTCAGCTAAGGATACCCGAGGCACTAGCTAAGGGTTAACTCCAAGCACTTTACTGTTCACTTTTAACCAAAAATATAAAATAGTCTATCAATTTTTAACCACTTTTTTCACTTCACAATCACTAAATTTTTTTTATTAAATTTTCACCATTTTTTTTTTATTAAAATTTTACTCACTTTTGTTTCACTTTAAAATTTTGATTTTATTTTTTTTCCGAAATATTAAGTGTGATGCTTCCTCGTGTAAGAATCGTATGGGACTGACTGAATTACGAAAAACACAGCCCCTATATAGTCTGAAATGGAAAGTCAAAGCCTACTTTTTCAACAAAAAAACAAGAAAGGAAAGCTATCGATATCGATTCGATCGGAGCCTAAATCGATATACCCTTGCGGATATTTTTTCTATTGGATATCTATCTCAACTATCGCATTTAGTAGGCCCATCCTTATTCGAATTTTATTATAAACCAATTTATTAGAATATAAAATTTAAAAAAAAGTCGATCTTCAATTCTTTTTTATCAACTACAAAATACTTTTTCCCATTGTTCAGTTAAATGGCAGCTATAAGATATAGTTCCCTATAGGGTCCACAATGATGGCTATATCTTCCCCAATTCTCATCCGATTCTCAAGCGGAGTACCTTAAACTGCATCAAAATACTGAGACGAAATATTTTTGAGATTTTTCACAAGTAACACATTTCTCACAAACATTACCATTTTGACAGCCAGCTTCCAGGGCTACAATGCAGCTCTTTATGTTGCTACCCTTCGAATAATCGATAGATGCCATTTGCCTACAATCGAGACTGCTATCGAGATTAGTAGGCCCTGATTGTAGGTCCCAAAAAGAATATAAAAGGCGGCTTTCCTTCCTCCCAAATCATTAGTCAACGGACCTCCAACCCGTTGGCTTCTCGCTTTTTATTTTATTTTCTTATTATTTTTTTTGAGTCTTATTTTCTCATTTGATTAATAATTTTATTTTAAATTCAGGACTGTAGTGGTGTGTTGTTACAGATCCGGAATTTTGTCTGATTTTCTTATTTTCGTTTAATTTTAAATTTTTTATACAACTATTATTTATGTTTCAATAAAAACCATAGGCATTGCACCTTCCGCACTCATAGGGTATTGGAAGCCGCGTATAAATGCAGTTAGTGAACGGACCTCCAACCCGTTGACTTCTCGTTTTTTATTTTATTTTATTTTCTTATTTTTGTTTTTCAATCTTATTTTCTCATTTGATTAATAATTTTATTTTAAATTCAGGACTGTAGTGGTGTGTTGTTACAGATCCGGAATTTTGTCTGATTTTCTTATTTTCGTTTAATTTTAAATTTTTTATACAACTATTATTTATGTTTCAATAAAAACCATAGGCATTGCACCTTCCGCACTCATAGGGTATTGGAAGCCGCGTATAAATGCAGTTAGTGAACGGACCTCCAACCCGTTGACTTCTCGTTTTTTATTTTATTTTATTTTCTTATTTTTGTTTTTCAATCTTATTTTCTCATTTGATTAATAATTTTATTTTAAATTCAGGACTGTAGTGGTGTGTCGTTACAGATCCGGAATTGTCTCTGATTTTCTTATTTTCGTTTAATTTTACATTTTTTATAAAACTATTATTTATGTTTCAATAAAAACCATGGGCATAGCACCTTCCGCACTCATAGGGTATTGGAAGCCGCGTATAAATGCAGTTTACTCTTTTTAATTAAAAAAAAAAACAGAGGGTCTTATTTATTTATTTTATTTTGCTTTTAAATAACGAAAATTAATGGAGTTTTTTTTATCTTTGTGTGCAGAAATGAAACCTTGTTTCTTTGCAGATTTTTTTTTTTATATTTTTTATTTTTATTTTTTCTTTATTAACTTTTTTTATTGGTTCTGTATCTCTTCTATCACTATCTATGTTTAAAACACCTCCAAGTATGACCCCCGGGAAGGCTCCACCATTCTTCATCAAAACCCTGAGACGAAATATTTTTTAGATTTTTTGTCCATTTTTCGTGATGGGATCCCTTGAAAATGGGGTTTTCCCCTATTGGGCCCACAGTGATAGCCACATCTTCCCCATTTCTCGTCCGATTCTCAAGCGGAGTACCTTAAACGATTTCTAGATCGATTCTCCACCATTCTTCATCAAAACCCTGAGACGAAATATTTTTTAGATTTTTTGTCCATTTTTCGTGATGGGATCCCTTGAAAATGGGGTTTTCCCCTGTAGGGCCCACAGTGATAGCCACATCTTCCCCATTTTTCGTCCGATTCTCAAGCGGAGTACCTTAAACGATTTCTAGATCGATTCTCCAACATTCTGCATCAAATGCCTGAGACGAAATATTTTTAAGATTTTTTGTCCATTTTTCCTGATGGGATCCCTTGAAAATGGGGTTTTCCCCTATTGGGCCCACAGTGATAGCCACATCTTCCCCATTTCTCGTCCGATTCTCAAGCGGAGTACCTTAAACGATTTCTAGATCGATTCTCCACCATTCTGCATCAAAATCCTGAGAAAAAATATTTTTTTGATTTTTTGTCCATTTTTCCTGATGGGATCCCTTGAAAACGGGGTTTCCCCCTATTGGGCCCACAGTGATGGCTATATCTTCCCCAATTCTTATCCGATTCCCAAGAGGAGTACCTTATACAATTTCTGGATCGATTCTCCACCATTCTGTATACAAATCCTGAGACGAAATATTTTTTTGATTTTTTGTCCATTTTTCCTGATGGGATCCCTTGAAAAAACCCCATCCTCCATAAGGCCCGATTCTCAAGCGGATCACCTTAAACGATTTCTAGATCGATTCTCCAACTTTCTGCATCAAAATCCTGAGACGAAATATTTTTTTGATTTTTTGTCCATTTTTCCTGATGGGATCCCTTGAAAACGGGGTTTCCCCCTATTGGGCCCACAGTGATGGCTATATCTTCCCTAATTCCCATCTGATTCTCAAGCGGAGTACCTTAAACGATTGGATCGATTCTACACCATTCTGCATCAAAATCCTGAGACGAAATATTTTTTAGATTTTCTGTCCATTTTTCCTGATGGGATCCCTTGAAAATGCGGTTTTCCCCTATAGGGCCCACTGCGATGGCTATATCTATATGTATATATTTTTTTTAAGCCTCTACCTTTTAATGCTATCACAGATCTTTCGAATATCGAGACCCTGGGGGTCTCTGGTGGAGTCACGCTTATCGTGATAATTTTACCGCAATTGGTGTAATTATAGAATGAGGAAGTGCATCGGGACAGACATCTATGGTAATTATGTTGCCAATCATAACGATTCGTGGGGTTACCCGTGGCTCCCAAATGTTTATTTTTTCTCTGCTTTTTTTCGTCAGAGTAATTTATGTTTAGTGGCTGCTGAAATTTATTGTTTTCATTTAACATTTAACAACTGCAAGTTGCTGGCAATTAATCGACGAGTGATTAATCATTTTCTATGCAAATTATAGAGCCAGAGCGACGAGTATGCTACTTAGATACGACGATCCTCACGCAAACTTTGACTCAAAAAAAAAAAAAAAAAAACTTTGGCTTTAACTTTGACTTTGGCCAGAACTGAGATCTTTAATTACAACAGCATCGGCATCGGACATGGCTACGAAATACTCGTTCGAGTACAGGTTGTGTCGGCCATAATTTGAATTTGTATGTGACTTTTGAGGCAGAAACTAGTAGAGGCACGATTGCCGCTCACAAATCATTCATAATCATAATAATATTTCTCTAATTAGATGCGAGAATAATTCAACTGCGTCACTGCAATTCAAATAAATTCCCAATTCCTATTCAGGTATTACTAACCAACTAACTAGCTGGAAGTGCCAATGATCAATGGGAAATCTATAGGGGAAATAGAGTTCTTAGAGCAGAAAAGCCAATGACTATACCTTATTACTAAATACATTTTTTTTTAAGGTTTTCTTAAAAAAATTGTCTCTTATTTCTGGAGTTGTTCCATCATGAATGATCGCATCGAATGAGCTGGAATTTTTAAAGAAATAATAATGATGTGATGGTAGCCAATAAAACCAAACAACCGGCAACCAAGAAGCAATTGGCCAATAAAACAAGAAGCCAAATTATAACTTTTTTGAAGATTCATGGGCCGAAATTCCAGATACCCTACAAAAAAAATTCCCAAGAACAATAATTTCACTAGAAACATTTTTAACGACCTACTATAAGGCACGTATTTGATAAAATTCAAACTTAAAAATAAAATAGAACCTTATTTCAATACCCTAATTTTTATAAAAAAAAAAGAAAATAGTTAACTTTAGTTCTACAAGCTACTATTGTCTAAAAATATAAATCACAAAAGAATAGAAATAAAAACTGACCCAGTCTCCAAAGATCGATGTCTATTTTGGGAATGATATTACGACGTCACAACGGTCAAAGTCATAATCATTGGTTTTTGATTCTTTCATTTTTTTTATAAATTTTTGCATATTTGGCACTTTTTTTGTTGTTAGTGCTTTTAGTGTGAAGCTATAGCTGTCGGAGCATTGTTATTTTAATTAACTTCGATTGGGTGTGAGGCACGTTTCTGTCTACGTTTCTTTAATTTTGATATTTATTTTTATTTGGTTTTTTTCTTTTTTGGGGTTTACGACATTGTGCTTTTTTGTTGATTTTAGTTTTTTTTTAAGTTTTAACGGCATTCGTTTGGCTGGTTTAGTTCTGTAAAGCTTGACGGAAAAGTAAATAATTCCCCGTCTTGCCAATTGCCTTGAAGCGTTCATTTTTCCCACACTTTTGCCGGCGGCAAGTGATTATACTTATTACTATATTTACGCCGGGCCCAAGCCCAGGCCCATAAACTAATCCAAACGATGAGCCCGACGCCAAACCGGTTCATTTCCCGCCAATCCGATGGCTTTGGATATATAGTAGGCTTTAGGCCAATCTATTACCAATTGCAGTCTCGTGAAATGCAATTCCGGAAGCTAATTATTAGATTGTTAAAAAATTAAATAAAATATGTATATATATTTTGTTTTTTTAATTATTTTTCTTGCTTCTTTACATTTAAAGCATAAGCCTTTGTGATTATTGAAATTTATTGAATAAGCAATGGGTTCTTCTCTTGATGATGATTTTGAATTTATAATTTGATGGACTTTTAAAAGAGAGCATTGAACTTTTGAAGTTTAAATGATATATTTAAGGTTTATATTTAGTTAATATTTTTAACTTAATAGGGATTATAATAAGATTATAATTTATAAGACTGATATATGGGGCCTTATACCTTAACCTTAAAAGGTATCTTATTGTTCTTTATAAAGTTTCTAAAACTAATATTCCAAACGTTTCTTTAAATTTAAAAAATTGAAATTTTTATTTAAAAATTTTCATAAGCTTTGCATAAGAAGATATACAACTTAGTTCTACAGATTTAAAGCAAAAAAACTTCCTAAAAAAAACATAAACTAATTAAAACTCATCTTAAAATAGCAGTGTAATCTCAAAAGGTGTTACTTTCCTGTAATACCTATTCCAATATTGTGTAATGATTTATGTTCATTTTTTATGGGCAAGATTTTTCAACAGTGTGGCTAATTTCTTTCTGATTAGAACCAGTTATAGACCAACGATCTTGGCTAAAAACCTACCCGAAGCTTGGGGGAAAAGCAGCTAGCCAGTCGGGTCGAATGGCTCCTTCATTCATAAACCCAAAGTGGAGAACGATCCCAGATCAGTAGCGCGTTGACCGTCGAGATGCCGAGTTTGTTGAGATCGCGGAGCAAGTGCAGCATCGTTGCAGTGCTCCTGGTTATCGTGCTTCAGGTGGACAGATCGTCGGCTTTTCCACAATCCAAAAAATCCATTCCCAATGGGAGTCCCTTTCCAAGTTCTCCTGGGAATGGTGGCTACTGTGCTGCCTCCCTCTGTGAGTTGTATAATGGAACGCATGTGGTGCAAGTGCCGCACATAGCTTGTGGCAATAATGGAAGCTTTGCGCCAGCCTGTGGTCCGGAACCCAAGCTCCTGGAGATGAGCGAACGAAGGCGTCAACTGCTCCTCGATATGCACAATTTGGCCCGCTCCAAGATCGCCCTGGGTGACCTGGACGGCTACCTGAGTGCTGCGCGGATGCCGCTCCTTCGCTGGGACACGGAACTGGAACGGATGGCCGCCCTCCATGCCCGACGCTGCCAGTTCGCCCACGACAAGTGCCGCAACACGCCCCGGTTCCCTTTCAGTGGTCAGAACATCGGTTACTTCTGGATCGGACGCGAGTTCAAGTCACACTCCAGGCGGATGAAGTCCTTTGTGATCAACTGGTTCCGAGAGTATCAGGACGCCAATCAGACCTACATCGATAGCTATCATCCACATCCTCAGGGGTAAGTTAGAAAATGGCGGGGATTTCCTTTTTTTTACTATATAAGGTAATGTTTCCTTTCAGAAAAAAGATCGGACACTTTACCCTTTTGGTTTCCGATCGAGTTCAGCGCGTCGGTTGTGCCGGAGTTCGTTTTTTGGAGGCGAAGACTAATCGCTACCAATTCATGCTGACCTGCAACTACGACTTCAACAACATCTTCAACGAACCCATTTACCGAACGGGTCCGGCGGGGTCCAAATGCGATCAGCACCGGGTCAGTGAGAAGTTCCCAGGACTCTGCGATTGGCGGGACGCCTCCAACGACAACGAGAGTGAGGAAAGTGCCGAGGATGGCAACGCCTTAGACAACAACATTCCCTTATAGAAGGTGGATACCCTTTAAATTGTAATATAATACTAGGATACTCCCTTATAATAATTTACAAGATTCCCTTTTTTTTTGTTACCATTTAAGAAAATTCAAAATTTAAAAAGTACATTAGCCATCGTTGTTGTTCAAAAGGTGCATCTTTACAGCTGTGGTTGTTGTTAAAAATATACATAGATATAGATTGGTTAAACTCATTAAATAAAAGCTTAGTTCTATTCGTAGTGTCTTCTCGCTCGCCTAAGCCTTCCTAAACGTAATCAGAATCGGTCGTCGTTGGGGTTATCACATCGAAAATGTTGAAGGGCGGCAGGGAAGCGGTGGTAGTGACTGCCTCTGTTGTCTCTTCAGTTGTCTTGTGGGTGGTCTTCTCGGTGGTTGGCTCAGTGGGCTTGTGAGTTGTTACCTTCGGAGTTGTAGGCTCGGTTGGCTTGTGGGTAGTCTGCTTCTCAGTGGTTGGCTCAGTGGGCTTGTGGGTTGTAGGCTCGGTTGGCTTGTGAGTAGTCTGCTTCTCGGTGGTTGGCTCAGTAGGCTTGTGAGTTGTTACCTTCGGAGTTGTAGGCTCGGTTGGCTTGTGGGTAGTCTGCGTCTCGGTGGTTGGCTCAGTGGGCTTGTGAGTTGTTACCTTCGGAGTTGTAGGCTCGGTTGGCTTGTGAGTAGTCTGCTTCTCGGTGGTTGGCTCAGTGGGCTTGTGAGTTGTTACCTTCGGAGTTGTAGGCTCGGTTGGCTTGTGAGTAGTCTGCTTCTCGGTGGTTGGCTCAGTGGGCTTGTGAGTTGTTATCTTCCGAGTTGTAGGCTCGGTTGGCTTGTGGGTAGTCTGCTTCTCGGTGGTTGGCTCAGTGGGCTTGTGAGTTGTAGGCTCGGTTGGCTTGTGAGTTGTTACCTTCGGAGTTGTAGGCTCGGTTGGCTTGTGGGTAGTCTGCTTCTCGGTGGTTGGCTCAGTGGGCTTGTGAGAAGTCTGCTTCTCGGTGGTTGGCTCAGTGGGCTTGTGGGTTGTAGGCTCGGTTGGCTTGTGGGTAGTCTGCTTCTCGGTGGTTGGCTCAGTGGGCTTGTGGGTTGTAGGCTCGGTTGGCTTGTGGGTAGTCTGCTTCTCGGTGGTTGGCTCAGTGGGCTTGTGAGTAGTCTGCTTCTCGGTGGTTGGCTCAGTGGGCTTGTGAGTTGTTACCTTCGGAGTTGTAGGCTCGGTTGGCTTGTGGGTAGTCTGCTTCTCGGTGGTTGGCTCAGTGGGCTTGTGAGAAGTCTGCTTCTCGGTGGTTGGCTCAGTGGGCTTGTGGGTTGTAGGCTCGGTTGGCTTGTGGGTAGTCTGCTTCTCGGTGGTTGGCTCGGTTGGCTTGTGGGTAGTCTGCTTCTCGGTGGTTGGCTCAGTGGGCTTGTGAGTAGTCTGCTTCTCGGTGGTTGGCTCAGTGGGCTTGTGAGTTGTTACCTTCGGAGTTGTAGGCTCGGTTGGCTTGTGGGTAGTCTGCTTCTCAGTGGTTGGCTCAGTGGGCTTGTGGGTTGTAGGCTCGGTTGGCTTGTGAGTAGTCTGCTTCTCGGTGGTTGGCTCAGTAGGCTTGTGAGTTGTTACCTTCGGAGTTGTAGGCTCGGTTGGCTTGTGGGTAGTCTGCGTCTCGGTGGTTGGCTCAGTGGGCTTGTGAGTTGTTACCTTCGGAGTTGTAGGCTCGGTTGGCTTGTGAGTAGTCTGCTTCTCGGTGGTTGGCTCAGTGGGCTTGTGAGTTGTTACCTTCGGAGTTGTAGGCTCGGTTGGCTTGTGAGTAGTCTGCTTCTCGGTGGTTGGCTCAGTGGGCTTGTGAGTTGTTATCTTCCGAGTTGTAGGCTCGGTTGGCTTGTGGGTAGTCTGCTTCTCGGTGGTTGGCTCAGTGGGCTTGTGAGTTGTAGGCTCGGTTGGCTTGTGAGTTGTTACCTTCGGAGTTGTAGGCTCAGGTTGGCTTGTGGGTAGTCTGCTTCTCGGTGGTTGGCTCAGTGGGCTTGTGAGAAGTCTGCTTCTCGGTGGTTGGCTCAGTGGGCTTGTGGGTTGTAGGCTCGGTTGGCTTGTGGGTAGTCTGCTTCTCGGTGGTTGGCTCAGTGGGCTTGTGGGTTGTAGGCTCGGTTGGCTTGTGGGTAGTCTGCTTCTCGGTGGTTGGCTCAGTGGGCTTGTGAGTAGTCTGCTTCTCGGTGGTTGGCTCAGTGGGCTTGTGAGTTGTTACCTTCGGAGTTGTAGGCTCGGTTGGCTTGTGAGTAGTCTGCTTCTCGGTGGTTGGCTCAGTGGGCTTGTGAGTTGTTATCTTCCGAGTTGTAGGCTCGGTTGGCTTGTGGGTAGTCTGCTTCTCGGTGGTTGGCTCAGTGGGCTTGTGAGTTGTAGGCTCGGTTGGCTTGTGAGTTGTTACCTTCGGAGTTGTAGGCTCGGTTGGCTTGTGGGTAGTCTGCTTCTCGGTGGTTGGCTCAGTGGGCTTGTGAGAAGTCTGCTTCTCGGTGGTTGGCTCAGTGGGCTTGTGGGTTGTAGGCTCAGGTTGGCTTGTGGGTAGTCTGCTTCTCGGTGGTTGGCTCAGTGGGCTTGTGGGTTGTAGGCTCGGTTGGCTTGTGGGTAGTCTGCTTCTCGGTGGTTGGCTCAGTGGGCTTGTGAGTTGTAGGCTCGGTTGGCTTGTGAGTAGTCTGCTTCTCGGTGGTTGGCTCAGTGGGCTTGTGAGTTGTTACCTTCGGAGTTGTAGGCTCTGGTTGGCTTGTGGGTAGTCTGCTTCTCGGTGGTTGGCTCAGTGGGCTTGTGGGTTGTAGGCTCGGTTGGCTTGTGCGTAGTCTGCTTCTCGGTGGTTGGCTCAGTAGGCTTGTGAGTTGTTGCCTTCGGAGTTGTAGGCTCAGTTGGCTTGTGGGTAGTCTGCTTCTCGGTGGTTGGCTCAGTGGGCTTGTGAGTTGTTACCTTCGGAGTTGTAGGCTCGGTTGGCTTGTGGGTAGTCTGCTTCTCGGTGGTTGGCTCAGTGGGCTTGTGAGTTGTTATCTTCCGAGTTGTAGGCTCAGGTTGGCTTGTGGGTAGTCTGCTTCTCGGTGGTTGGCTCAGTGGGCTTGTGAGTTGTAGGCTCGGTTGGCTTGTGAGTTGTTACCTTCGGAGTTGTAGGCTCGGTTGGCTTGTGGGTAGTCTGCTTCTCGGTGGTTGGCTCAGTGGGCTTGTGAGTTGTTACCTTCGGAGTTGTAGGCTCAGGTTGGCTTGTGGGTAGTCTGCTTCTCGGTGGTTGGCTCAGTGGGCTTGTGAGAAGTCTGCTTCTCGGTGGTTGGCTCAGTGGGCTTGTGGGTTGTAGGCTCGGTTGGCTTGTGAGTAGTCTGCTTCTCGGTGGTTGGCTCAGTGGGCTTGTGAGTTGTTACCTTCCGAGTTGTAGGCTCGGTTGGCTTGTGGGTAGTCTGCTTCTCGGTGGTTGGCTCAGTGGGCTTGTGAGTTGTAGGCTCGGTTGGCTTGTGAGTTGTTACCTTCGGAGTTGTAGGCTCGGTTGGCTTGTGGGTAGTCTGCTTCTCGGTGGTTGGCTCAGTGGGCTTGTGAGTTGTTACCTTCGGAGTTGTAGGCTCGGTTGGCTTGTGGGTAGTCTGCTTCTCGGTGGTTGGCTCAGTGGGCTTGTGAGTTGTTACCTTCGGAGTTGTAGGCTCGGTTGGCTTGTGAGTAGTCTGCTTCTCGGTGGTTGGCTCAGTGGGCTTGTGAGTTGTTATCTTCCGAGTTGTAGGCTCGGTTGGCTTGTGGGTAGTCTGCTTCTCGGTGGTTGGCTCAGTGGGCTTGTGAGTTGTAGGCTCGGTTGGCTTGTGAGTTGTTACCTTCGGAGTTGTAGGCTCGGTTGGCTTTTGGGTAGTCTGCTTCTCGGTGGTTGGCTCAGTGGGCTTGTGAGTTGTTACCTTCGGAGTTGTAGGCTCGGCTGGCTTGTGGGTAGTCTGCTTCTCGGTGGTTGGCTCAGTGGGCTTGTGAGTTGTAGGCTCGGTTGGCTTGTGAGTAGTCTGCTTCTCGGTGGTTGGCTCAGTGGGCTTGTGATTTGTAGGCTCGGTTGGCTTGTGAGTAGTCTGCTTCTCGGTGGTTGGCTCAGTGGGCTTGTGGGTTGTAGGCTCGGTTGGCTTGTGAGTTGTTACCTTGTGAGTTGTAGGCTCGGTTGGCTTGTGGGTAGTCTGCTTCTCGGTGGTTGGCTCAGTGGGCTTGTGAGTTGTAGGCTCGGTTGGCTTGTGAGTAGTCTGCTTCTCGGTGGTTGGCTCAGTGGGCTTGTGGGTTGTAGGCTCGGTTGGCTTGTGAGTTGTTACCTTCGGAGTTGTAGGCTCAGTGGGCTTGTGAGTAGTCTGCTTCTCGGTGGTTGGCTCAGTGGGCTTGTGAGTTGTAGGCTCGGTTGGCTTGTGAGTAGTCTGCTTCTCGGTGGTTGGCTCAGTGGGCTTGTGAGTTGTAGGCTCGGTTGGCTTGTGAGTTGTTACCTTCGGAGTTGTAGGCTCAGGTTGGCTTGTGGGTAGTCTGCTTCTCGGTGGTTGGCTCAGTGGGCTTGTGAGTTGTAGGCTCGGTTGGCTTGTGAGTAGTCTGCTTCTCGGTGGTTGGCTCAGTGGGCTTGTGAGTTGTAGGCTCGGTTGGCTTGTGAGTAGTCTGCTTCTCGGTGGTTGGCTCAGTGGGCTTGTGAGTTGTAGGCTCGGTTGGCTTGTGAGTTGTTACCTTCGGAGTTGTAGGCTCGGTTGGCTTGTGGGTAGTCTGCTTCTCGGTGGTTGGCTCAGTGGGCTTGTGAGTTGTAGGCTCGGTTGGCTTGTGAGTAGTCTGCTTCTCGGTGGTTGGCTCAGTGGGCTTGTGGGTTGTAGGCTCGGTTGGCTTGTGAGTTGTTACCTTCGGAGTTGTAGGCTCGGTTGGCTTGTGGGTAGTCTGCTTCTCGGTGGTTGGCTCAGTGGGCTTGTGAGTAGTCTGCTTCTCGGTGGTTGGCTCAGTAGGCTTGTGGGTAGTAGGCTCGGTTGGCTTGTGAGTTGTTACCTTCGGAGTTGTAGGCTCAGGTTGGCTTGTGGGTAGTCTGCTTCTCGGTGGTTGGCTCAGTGGGCTTGTGGGTTGTAGGCTCGGTTGGCTTGTGAGTAGTCTGCTTCTCGGTGGTTGGCTCAGTTGGCTTGTGGGTTGTAGGCTCGGTTGGCTTGTGGGTAGTCTGCTTCTCGGTGGTTGGCTCAGTGGGCTTGTGAGTAGTCTGCTTCTCGGTGGTTGGCTCAGTGGGCTTGTGGGTTGTAGGCTCGGTTGGCTTGTGAGTTGTTACCTTCGGAGTTGTAGGCTCAGTGGGCTTGTGAGTAGTCTGCTTCTCGGTGGTTGGCTCAGTGGGCTTGTGGGTTGTAGGCTCGGTTGGCTTGTGAGTTGTTACCTTCGGAGTTGTAGGCTCGGTTGGCTTGTGGGTAGTCTGCTTCTCGGTGGTTGGCTCAGTGGGCTTGTGAGTAATCTGCTTCTCGGTGGTTGGCTCAGTGGGCTTGTGGGTTGTAGGCTCGGTTGGCTTGTGGGTAGTCTGCTTCTCGGTGGTTGGCTCAGTGGGCTTGTGGGTTGTAGGCTCTGGTTGGCTTGTGGGTAGTCTGCTTCTCGGTGGTTGGCTCAGTGGGCTTGTGAGTTGTAGGCTCGGTTGGCTTGTGAGTAGTCTGCTTCTCGGTGGTTGGCTCAGTAGGATTGTGAGTTGTTACCTTCGGAGTTGTAGGCTCGGTTGGCTTGTGGGTAGTCTGCTTCTCGGTGGTTGGCTCAGTGGGCTTGTGAGTTGTAGGCTCGGTTGGCTTGTGAGTAGTCTGCTTCTCGGTGGTTGGCTCAGTAGGATTGTGAGTTGTTACCTTCGGAGTTGTAGGCTCGGTTGGCTTGTGGGTAGTCTGCTTCTCCGTGGTTGGCTCAGTGGGCTTGTGAGTTGTAGGCTCGGTTGGCTTGTGAGTAGTCTGCTTCTCGGTGGTTGGCTCAGTGGGCTTGTGAGTTGTAGGCTCGGTTGGCTTGTGAGTTGTTACCTTCGGAGTTGTAGGCTCGGTTGGCTTGTGGGTAGTCTGCTTCTCGGTGGTTGGCTCAGTGGGCTTGTGAGTTGTAGGCTCGGTTGGCTTGTGAGTAGTCTGCTTCTCGGTGGTTGGCTCAGTGGGCTTGTGGGTTGTAGGCTCGGTTGGCTTGTGAGTTGTTACCTTCGGAGTTGTAGGCTCGGTTGGCTTGTGGGTAGTCTGCTTCTCGGTGGTTGGCTCAGTGGGCTTGTGAGTAGTCTGCTTCTCGGTGGTTGGCTCAGTAGGCTTGTGGGTAGTAGGCTCGGTTGGCTTGTGAGTTGTTACCTTCGGAGTTGTAGGCTCAGGTTGGCTTGTGGGTAGTCTGCTTCTCGGTGGTTGGCTCAGTGGGCTTGTGGGTTGTAGGCTCGGTTGGCTTGTGAGTAGTCTGCTTCTCGGTGGTTGGCTCAGTTGGCTTGTGGGTTGTAGGCTCGGTTGGCTTGTGGGTAGTCTGCTTCTCGGTGGTTGGCTCAGTGGGCTTGTGAGTAGTCTGCTTCTCGGTGGTTGGCTCAGTGGGCTTGTGGGTTGTAGGCTCGGTTGGCTTGTGAGTTGTTACCTTCGGAGTTGTAGGCTCAGTGGGCTTGTGAGTAGTCTGCTTCTCGGTGGTTGGCTCAGTGGGCTTGTGGGTTGTAGGCTCGGTTGGCTTGTGAGTTGTTACCTTCGGAGTTGTAGGCTCGGTTGGCTTGTGGGTAGTCTGCTTCTCGGTGGTTGGCTCAGTGGGCTTGTGAGTAATCTGCTTCTCGGTGGTTGGCTCAGTGGGCTTGTGGGTTGTAGGCTCGGTTGGCTTGTGGGTAGTCTGCTTCTCGGTGGTTGGCTCAGTGGGCTTGTGGGTTGTAGGCTCGGTTGGCTTGTGGGTAGTCTGCTTCTCGGTGGTTGGCTCAGTGGGCTTGTGAGTTGTAGGCTCGGTTGGCTTGTGAGTAGTCTGCTTCTCGGTGGTTGGCTCAGTAGGATTGTGAGTTGTTACCTTCGGAGTTGTAGGCTCGGTTGGCTTGTGGGTAGTCTGCTTCTCGGTGGTTGGCTCAGTGGGCTTGTGAGTTGTAGGCTCGGTTGGCTTGTGAGTAGTCTGCTTCTCGGTGGTTGGCTCAGTAGGATTGTGAGTTGTTACCTTCGGAGTTGTAGGCTCAGGTTGGCTTGTGGGTAGTCTGCTTCTCCGTGGTTGGCTCAGTGGGCTTGTGAGTTGTAGGCTCGGTTGGCTTGTGAGTAGTCTGCTTCTCGGTGGTTGGCTCAGTGGGCTTGTGAGTTGTAGGCTCGGTTGGCTTGTGAGTAGTCTGCTTCTCGGTGGTTGGCTCAGTGGGCTTGTGAGTTGTAGGCTCCGGTTGGCTTGTGAGTTGTTACCTTCGGAGTTGTAGGCTCGGTTGGCTTGTGGGTAGTCTGCTTCTCGGTGGTTGGCTCAGTGGGCTTGTGAGTTGTAGGCTCAGGTTGGCTTGTGAGTAGTCTGCTTCTCGGTGGTTGGCTCAGTAGGCTTGTGGGTTGTAGGCTCGGTTGGCTTGTGAGTTGTTACCTTCGGAGTTGTAGGCTCGGTTGGCTTGTGGGTAGTCTGCTTCTCGGTGGTTGGCTCAGTGGGCTTGTGAGTAGTCTGCTTCTCGGTGGTTGGCTCAGTAGGCTTGTGGGTAGTAGGCTCGGTTGGCTTGTGAGTTGTTACCTTCGGAGTTGTAGGCTCGGTTGGCTTGTGGGTAGTCTGCTTCTCGGTGGTTGGCTCAGTGGGCTTGTGGGTTGTAGGCTCGGTTGGCTTGTGAGTAGTCTGCTTCTCGGTGGTTGGCTCAGTTGGCTTGTGGGTTGTAGGCTCGGTTGGCTTGTGGGTAGTCTGCTTCTCGGTGGTTGGCTCAGTGGGCTTGTGAGTAGTCTGCTTCTCGGTGGTTGGCTCAGTGGGCTTGTGGGTTGTAGGCTCGGTTGGCTTGTGAGTTGTTACCTTCGGAGTTGTAGGCTCAGTGGGCTTGTGAGTAGTCTGCTTCTCGGTGGTTGGCTCAGTGGGCTTGTGGGTTGTAGGCTCGGTTGGCTTGTGAGTTGTTACCTTCGGAGTTGTAGGCTCGGTTGGCTTGTGGGTAGTCTGCTTCTCGGTGGTTGGCTCAGTGGGCTTGTGAGTAATCTGCTTCTCGGTGGTTGGCTCAGTGGGCTTGTGGGTTGTAGGCTCGGTTGGCTTGTGGGTAGTCTGCTTCTCGGTGGTTGGCTCAGTGGGCTTGTGGGTTGTAGGCTCGGTTGGCTTGTGGGTAGTCTGCTTCTCGGTGGTTGGCTCAGTGGGCTTGTGAGTTGTAGGCTCGGTTGGCTTGTGAGTAGTCTGCTTCTCGGTGGTTGGCTCAGTAGGATTGTGAGTTGTTACCTTCGGAGTTGTAGGCTCGGTTGGCTTGTGGGTAGTCTGCTTCTCGGTGGTTGGCTCAGTGGGCTTGTGAGTTGTAGGCTCAGGTTGGCTTGTGAGTAGTCTGCTTCTCGGTGGTTGGCTCAGTAGGATTGTGAGTTGTTACCTTCGGAGTTGTAGGCTCGGTTGGCTTGTGGGTAGTCTGCTTCTCCGTGGTTGGCTCAGTGGGCTTGTGAGTTGTAGGCTCGGTTGGCTTGTGAGTAGTCTGCTTCTCGGTGGTTGGCTCAGTGGGCTTGTGAGTTGTAGGCTCGGTTGGCTTGTGAGTTGTTACCTTCGGAGTTGTAGGCTCGGTTGGCTTGTGGGTAGTCTGCTTCTCGGTGGTTGGCTCAGTGGGCTTGTGAGTTGTAGGCTCGGTTGGCTTGTGAGTAGTCTGCTTCTCGGTGGTTGGCTCAGTAGGATTGTGAGTTGTTACCTTCGGAGTTGTAGGCTCGGTTGGCTTGTGGGTAGTCTGCTTCTCCGTGGTTGGCTCAGTGGGCTTGTGAGTTGTAGGCTCGGTTGGCTTGTGAGTAGTCTGCTTCTCGGTGGTTGGCTCAGTGGGCTTGTGGGTTGTAGGCTCGGTTGGCTTGTGAGTTGTTACCTTCGGAGTTGTAGGCTCGGTTGGCTTGTGGGTAGTCTGCTTCTCGGTGGTTGGCTCAGTGGGCTTGTGAGTAGTCTGCTTCTCGGTGGTTGGCTCAGTGGGCTTGTGGGTTGTAGGCTCGGTTGGCTTGTGAGTCGTTACCTTCGGAGTTGTAGGCTCGGTTGGCTTGTGAGTAGTCTGCTTCTCGGTGGTTGGCTCAGTAGGATTGTGAGTTGTTACCTTCGGAGTTGTAGGCTCGGTTGGCTTGTGGGTAGTCTGCTTCTCCGTGGTTGGCTCAGTGGGCTTGTGAGTTGTAGGCTCAGTGGGCTTGTGAGTAGTCTGCTTCTCGGTGGTTGGCTCAGTGGGCTTGTGAGTTGTAGGCTCGGTTGGCTTGTGAGTTGTTACCTTCGGAGTTGTAGGCTCGGTTGGCTTGTGGGTAGTCTGCTTCTCGGTGGTTGGCTCAGTGGGCTTGTGGGTTGTAGGCTCGGTTGGCTTGTGAGTAGTCTGCTTCTCGGTGGTTGGCTCAGTGGGCTTGTGGGTTGTAGGCTCGGTTGGCTTGTGAGTTGTTACCTTCGGAGTTGTAGGCTCGGTTGGCTTGTGGGTAGTCTGCTTCTCGGTGGTTGGCTCAGTGGGCTTGTGAGTAGTCTGCTTCTCGGTGGTTGGCTCAGTTGGCTTGTGGGTTGTAGGCTCGGTTGGCTTGTGGGTAGTCTGCTTCTCGGTGGTTGGCTCAGTGGGCTTGTGGGTTGTAGGCTCGGTTGGCTTGTGAGTTGTTACCTTCGGAGGTTGTAGGCTCAGGTTGGCTTGTGGGTAGTCTGCTTCTCGGTGGTTGGCTCAGTGGACTTGTGAGTAGTCTGCTTCTCGGTGGTTGGCTCAGTGGGCTTGTGGGTTGTAGGCTCGGTTGGCTTGTGGGTAGTCTGCTTCTCGGTGGTTGGCTCAGTGGGCTTGTGAGTTGTTACCTTCGGAGTTGTAGGCTCGGTTGGCTTGTGGGTAGTCTGCTTCTCGGTGGTTGGCTCAGTGGGCTTGTGGGTTGTAGGCTCGGTTGGCTTGTGAGTAGTCTGCTTCTCGGTGGTTGGCTCAGTTGGCTTGTGGGTTGTAGGCTCGGTTGGCTTGTGGGTAGTCTGCTTCTCGGTGGTTGGCTCAGTGGGCTTGTGAGTTGTTACCTTCGGAGTTGTAGGCTCGGTTGGCTTGTGGGTAGTCTGCTTCTCGGTGGTTGGCTCAGTGGGCTTGTGAGTAGTCTGCTTCTCGGTGGTTGGCTCAGTTGGCTTGTGGGTTGTAGGCTCGGTTGGCTTGTGGGTAGTCTGCTTCTCGGTGGTTGGCTCAGTGGGCTTGTGGGTTGTAGGCTCGGTTGGCTTGTGAGTTGTTACCTTCGGAGTTGTAGGCTCGGTTGGCTTGTGGGTAGTCTGCTTCTCGGTGGTTGGCTCAGTGGACTTGTGAGTAGTCTGCTTCTCGGTGGTTGGCTCAGTGGGCTTGTGGGTTGTAGGCTCGGTTGGCTTGTGGGTAGTCTGCTTCTCGGTGGTTGGCTCAGTGGGCTTGTGAGTTGTTACCTTCGGAGTTGTAGGCTCGGTTGGCTTGTGGGTAGTCTGCTTCTCGGTGGTTGGCTCAGTGGGCTTGTGGGTTGTAGGCTCGGTTGGCTTGTGAGTAGTCTGCTTCTCGGTGGTTGGCTCAGTTGGCTTGTGGGTTGTAGGCTCGGTTGGCTTGTGGGTAGTCTGCTTCTCGGTGGTTGGCTCAGTGGGCTTGTGAGTTGTTACCTTCGGAGTTGTAGGCTCGGTTGGCTTGTGGGTAGTCTGCTTCTCGGTGGTTGGCTCAGTGGGCTTGTGGGTTGTAGGCTCGGTTGGCTTGTGAGTTGTTACCTTCGGAGTTGTAGGCTCGGTTGGCTTATGGGTAGTCTGCTTCTCGGTGGTTGGCTCAGTGGGCTTGTGAGTTGTAGGCTCGGTTGGCTTGTGGGTAGTCTGCTTCTCGGTGGTTGGCTCAGTGGGCTTGTGAGTAGTCTGCTTCTCGGTGGTTGGCTCAGTGGGCTTGTGGGTTGTAGGCTCGGTTGGCTTGTGAGTTGTTACCTTCGGAGTTGTAGGCTCAGTGGGCTTGTGAGTAGTCTGCTTCTCGGTGGTTGGCTCAGTGGGCTTGTGAGTTGTAGGCTCGGTTGGCTTGTGGGTAGTCTGCTTCTCGGTGGTTGGCTCAGTGGCCTTGTGAGTAGTCTGCTTCTCGGTGGTTGGCTCAGTGGGCTTGTGGGTTGTAGGCTCGGTTGGCTTGTGAGTTGTTACCTTCGGAGTTGTAGGCTCGGTTGGCTTATGGGTAGTCTGCTTCTCGGTGGTTGGCTCAGTGGGCTTGTGAGTTGTAGGCTCGGTTGGCTTGTGGGTAGTCTGCTTCTCGGTGGTTGGCTCAGTGGCCTTGTGAGTAGTCTGCTTCTCGGTGGTTGGCTCAGTGGGCTTGTGGGTTGTAGGCTCGGTTGGCTTGTGAGTTGTTACCTTCGGAGTTGTAGGCTCAGTGGGCTTGTGAGTAGTCTGCTTCTCGGTGGTTGGCTCAGTGGGCTTGTGAGTTGTAGGCTCGGTTGGCTTGTGGGTAGTCTGCTTCTCGGTGGTTGGCTCAGTGGGCTTGTGAGTTGTAGGCTCGGTTGGCTTGTGGGTAGTCGGCTCGGTTGGCTTGTGAGTAGTCTGCTTCTCGGTGGTTGGCTCAGTGGGCTTGTGAGTTGTAGGCTCGGTTGGCTTGTGAGTTGTTACCTTCGGAGTTGTAGGCTCGGTTGGCTTGTGGGTAGTCTGCTTCTCGGTGGTTGGCTCAGTGGCCTTGTGAGTAGTCTGCTTCTCGGTGGTTGGCTCAGTGGGCTTGTGGGTTGTAGGCTCGGTTGGCTTGTGAGTTGTTACCTTCGGAGTTGTAGGCTCGGTTGGCTTGTGGGTAGTCTGCTTCTCGGTGGTTGGCTCAGTGGGCTTGTGAGTTGTAGGCTCGGTTGGCTTGTGGGTAGTCGGCTCCGGTTGGCTTGTGAGTAGTCTGCTTCTCGGTGGTTGGCTCAGTGGGCTTGTGGGTTGTAGGCTCGGTTGGCTTGTGAGTTGTTACCTTCGGAGTTGTAGGCTCGGTTGGCTTGTAGGTAGTCTGCTTCTCGGTGGTTGGCTCAGTGGGCTTGTGAGTTGTAGGCTCGGTTGGCTTGTGGGTAGTCTGCTTCTCGGTGGTTGGCTCAGTGGGCTTGTGAGTTGTAGGCTCGGTTGGCTTGTGAGTTGTTACCTTCGGAGTTGTAGGCTCGGTTGGCTTGTGGGTAGTCTGCTTCTCGGTGGTTGGCTCAGTGGGCTTGTGAGTTGTAGGCTCGGTTGGCTTGTGGGTAGTCGGCTCGGTTGGCTTGTGAGTAGTCTGCTTCTCGGTGGTTGGCTCAGTGGGCTTGTGGGTTGTAGGCTCGGTTGGCTTGTGAGTTGTTACCTTCGGAGTTGTAGGCTCGGTTGGCTTGTGGGTAGTCTGCTTCTCGGTGGTTGGCTCAGTGGGCTTGTGAGTTGTAGGCTCGGTTGGCTTGTGGGTAGTCTGCTTCTCGGTGGTTGGCTCAGTGGGCTTGTGAGTTGTAGGCTCGGTTGGCTTGTGAGTAGTCTGCTTCTCGGTGGTTGGCTCAGTGGGCTTGTGGGTTGTAGGCTCGGTTGGCTTGTGAGTTGTTACCTTCGGAGTTGTAGGCTCGGTTGGCTTGTGGGTAGTCTGCTTCTCGGTGGTTGGCTCAGTGGGCTTGTGAGTTGTAGGCTCGGTTGGCTTGTGAGTTGTTACCTTCGGAGTTGTAGGCTCGGTTGGCTTGTGGGTAGTCTGCTTCTCGGTGGTTGGCTCAGTGGGCTTGTGAGTTGTAGGCTCGGTTGGCTTGTGAGTAGTCTGCTTCTCGGTGGTTGGCTCAGTGGGCTTGTGGGTTGTAGGCTCGGTTGGCTTGTGGGTAGTCTGCTTCTCGGTGGTTGGCTCGGTTGGCTTGTGAGTTGTTACCTTCGGAGTTGTAGGCTCGGTTGGCTTGTGGGTAGTCTGCTTCTCGGTGGTTGGCTCGGTTGGCTTGTGAGTTGTTACCTTCGGAGTTGTAGGCTCGGTTGGCTTGTGGGTAGTCTGCTTCTCGGTGGTTGGCTCAGTGGGCTTGTGAGTAGTCTGCTTCTCGGTGGTTGGCTCAGTGGGCTTGTGAGTTGTAGGCTCGGTTGGCTTGTGAGTTGTTACCTTCGGAGTTGTAGGCTCGGTTGGCTTGTGGGTAGTCTGCTTCTCGGTGGTTGGCTCAGTGGGCTTGTGAGTAGTCTGCTTCTCGGTGGTTGGCTCAGTGGGCTTGTGAGTTGTAGGCTCGGTTGGCTTGTGAGTTGTTACCTTCGGAGTTGTAGGCTCTGGTTGGCTTGTGGGTAGTCTGCTTCTCGGTGGTTGGCTCAGTGGGCTTGTGAGTTGTAGGCTCGGTTGGCTTGTGAGTTGTTACCTTCGGAGTTGTAGGCTCAGTGGGCTTGTGAGTAGTCTGCTTCTCGGTGGTTGGCTCAGTGGGCTTGTGAGTTGTTACCTTCGGAGTTGTAGGCTCGGTTGGCTTGTGGGTAGTCTGCTTCTCGGTGGTTGGCTCAGTGGGCTTGTGAGTTGTAGGCTCGGTTGGCTTGTGAGTTGTTACCTTCGGAGTTGTAGGCTCAGTGGGCTTGTGAGTAGTCTGCTTCTCGGTGGTTGGCTCAGTTGGCTTGTGAGTAGTCTGCTTCTCGGTGGTTGGCTCAGATGGCTTCTGAGTTGTTTCCTTCGGAGTCGTAGGCTTCAAAGTGGTTGTTTTCGGAGTTGTTTTCTCTGTAGATGACTGAGTGGATGTGTCAGTCGGATTCAGAGTCGTTGGTTTCGGAGTTGTGGGACCAAGTGAAGGCTTGAAAGTGGTTCCCAAGGTGCTTTCGAAGGTGGGCTTCGGTGTCGTGTCGTGACCACAGCTGTGGGGCGTTGTCGTGGCGTGCGGGCAGTTGGGCTTGGTGGGTGCCGGACTCGTGATCCTGTGCTGGCAGGCCGGCGTGGTCGGGTGCTCCGGACACGGTGGTGGCGGCGGCTTCAGCGTGGTGGTGCTGGTTTTGTTGTTGCACGGATTCCGGAAGTGGAGCACGATCTCGTTCGGCTTCTGGCCGGGCACGATGCGAATGTGTGGCCCAAACATGGTGAAGGCAGCCGTGGTGGCCGCCAGGAGACAAATGACGAACAGCTGCATCTTGAAGTCCTTTTGTGGGTAATGCCCAGTGTATCGTTATAGGGCGGGTCGCGGCGCTGGTGGTGGTCAACACCCTTGGACAACACCCTCGATACTGAACTGGCCAACGGAGCAGGGCCATCCATTTAAGCCGTCCGCGTGTGGGCGGTGGGAAGTCAGGTCCCGGACTCGGTCTGTGCTGGAATTTGCATTCCGGACGCGGCGATCATTCCGGGAACGGATGCACTGCCCGCCACCGGGCACGCACCTGCTGTTCCGTAAGCCTGCTGACGTTTTGCATAAGCCCTAGCTTATCGGTTCAAAGCTAAAGCTAAAGCCCACTATGGGTGTGTAATACACGTTGCCACCCAAAAACCCGGGAACTCATTCATGGAAAAGTCAACTCAACCCGATGGGTTTTTTTTAAAACGTTCTGCAATTTCAACGATTTTTATTACGCTTTTGGCTGTTTGTTTCTTGGTTGGTATTGGGGGGGAGATTGGGGGATTGGGGGATTTTGGGTCACATTGAATGGATGGTCTCTCGACCTCTATTATCATTACAATAATAACTTTTAATATTAACGTGTGCCGTTGTTTATTTGTTTCTTGACTATCCACAAAATATCTTTATAGGCATCTCTTTCTAGTTGGTGTGTGGTTTTTTTTTTGATCTCTTAGACTAGTAATTGTGTTATATAAACTTGGCTATTTCGTTCCATTCTTGGCTATAATCAGCTACATATTTTTTATATTTTGTTTTTTTTTTTTTTTTGGTTTTTTTTGGCAAGTTACGAAATTTAATGAGGCGCGCTTATAAATTTGCACTATACGTAAGACATATGCACTCCATATGCGGTAATATATATATATATCATATATATAATATATATCCATATACATATATATATCTATATATTTAAGCTATAACAAAGTTACCGACTGATCATAATTCCATCTAATACGCAAACAACAACAAAACCTAGAGACTAATATTAGTTATCCTTATGGGTGAGGATCGATCTGCTTTCTGCTTACGGATCAGCTAGTTCGCATTATATATATAATATTTGTATATAATTTTAGGTTTTTTTTTTTAATATATATTCATGGATTAAACTGTTTCATTTCCTCTATCGTAAGTGTTAACCGTTTCGAGGCCTTGGCATTTACATTCTTCGTTATAGGCATAATACAAAAGTCTAGGCCACTAGTTGATAATGTTAATAGGCTTCATCCTCCTCTTGATCCTCCTCTATCTCTATTTGCTACTTTGGTGATCTAGCTCCCCTAGCTCCTCCTCCCACGGACCAGGAGCTAGATCTCATCGTCGCTGGTCTGGGTGCACAGGACCTGCTCCTGCCACCAGTCGTGCACCTCGTAGACCACGTTCGCCTGGTTGTTAAACGGCTGCTGCTTGCCACTGCCTCCGATCACCTGGCTCATCATCGCCGAGGGGCTGCCAAGGGCGCCGTGGTGATGGTGATGATGCAGTGCATCCATCCCATGTCCATGTCCGTGTCCATGGACATGGCCGTGGTGGCCGTGATGGCCGTGTCCGTGGAGAGCGGCTGCCGCGGCCGCTGCTGCGTTTATTGTCGGGTAGTGGAACTGGCCAATCTCGCTGGCGAAGAAGCTGGCCGACTTGCTCGCCTCTCCTCCAGATCCGCCACCGGCTCCACCGGCACCGACGCCCGTCCCCCTCTGCTTCGCCAGCTGGCCCAGCTGTCCGGCATGCGGCAGGGTCGTCATCGAGTTCTTCTTCCTCTGCTGACTGCTGATGTGCAGCCGCTCCTTGTCGCTCAGCGTCGACCGCTGCTGGGGATCACTGGAGGTGGGGGCGAGGAACTTCCTCCCCGCCGAACTTCCAGTAGAGTCCGATCTGTTCAGGGCATAGCCCCGCTTTCCCATCGTCATCACATGCCGGGCAGCCGTCGCCGTGGCCGTCCCCCTCTCAGCCACCGTCGTACCTGCCACGGCCACGGTGGTGGTGGTGACACCCGTCAGAGGCTCTGGGTGGGGCACCGCAGCACTGCTGCTGGCCTCCTTCTCCTCGTTCTCCGTGGAGCTGAAGGTCGGCGAGAAGGCGTCGCTGGTGGGCGGACAAGCGCCAGAAACGGCACCACTTATCGTACTGATGGCCGACTTCTCAGCCGCCCCCAGCGGCGTCTTGTCCTCCTGGACATTCGGACGCATCACTGGCTGTTCGTTGGTGGCCCTCAGCCCGGCTATCAATGAGTTTTGTTGTTTCTGCAAAGAAAAAAGGGGTTAGCTTATCAAAAATGTTGGAAATTATACAGAAAACCTTACGCTGGCATTCTGTGCCCGTATCTTCTTGAGGCAACCCTCCAGCCATGTGCGAATGGTCATCTTGGCCACCTCCTCCTCCACCAGGTACTCGAACTCCTCCCGGGCCAGCAGCTCCTCCAACTGCAGCGCCTTCCTGATGTCCACCGAACGATAGCTTAGCATACTAGATGGGTTTACAAGAATTAAATCATAGAATACTATCTCAGATCAAGGAATCACTCACTTGATCACATCATGGAAGGTGACATCCTCGCCATTGTGCAGCTTATCCAGCTCATAGCACATGTACTTGAACAGCAGCCTGTCCTTTTGAGGATCACACTCCAGTCGTCCTTTGAGCAGGCGCAGTATGAACTTGACCCGCCGTACGGGTATCACACCCCTCTGATGGATGTCCACTATGTTCCAGGTGTTCTGAAAGTTTCGTATATCCGCATAGGATAATAAGGCGTCCTCCTCATTCGAATAGAAGAGGGAAAAGTTCTCCATGATAATAGCTATAAGAAGGGTAAAATATTTTATATATTTAATATATTTTTATATTTATATATTAAACATTATTTTATCCTTATCCTGAAGTTTTATAATACTTTTATTAATTAATGAATATAAAAGTAGAATTAAATAAATTAAAATAAAATTATAATCCATGGTGGCAATCATTTCTTGTTTTTCCGATCCTTAGAGTAGTAAGTGTCCAATATAATGTCCAAATCATAATTATAAAATATAAATAATAATTAAAAAAAATCTCTTCTTTATTTTTTAATTCTTTATCTTCGAGAGAATCGTTTAACTCTTTCTTTCTCCCAATAAGTGTCTTATAAATCTTGATTATAAATCTAAAAATTAATCTTCAAAACCTAATCTTCAAAAATAATATTTTTATAATTAAATAAACTTTAACAAATAAAATAATTAACTAACTTACCCACAAGTAAGTTTAGCACAATATACGTAATTATCACATAGAAAGTGCAAAAATATATGAGACTGGCCGTAAAGTTGCCACAATCCGTCTCCCAGTAGTTGTCACCCAGAGTACAGTACGGTGGCTGGACCATACAGTCGTGCATGATCTTATTCCAATCCTCTCCAGTCACGATCCGGAAGAGCATCGCCACTCCGGTGACTGGTGATCCAAAGTTTGCCCGTCTTCCAATACCTTCTCCATATTTGACAGTTCCTGGGAGAAAAATCATTTTAAAGGGGGTACCATTATTCGGATAAAGGGGGGGAGGGAAGTAGGAGTTGGTGGGATACACAGAAAAAAAACAGAAGACCAAATTGAAAACCGACATGTCTGGGGGGATTAGTTTAATCTAGAGTTTAGTTCAAAATTGACAAAATTTTAAGATCATTTTAATTTTAATATATTTATGTTTTCAGCCTGAAATTATGCAAAGAATATTTTTGTTAAATTCTTTAATATATTTTTCCCCGATTTTAAGCTGAAATGCAATGCTACCTTTTCATAAAAGATACAAAATTTGATTGAAAAGCGGGTTTTTGTTTTAAAAATTAATTTCAATACCTTTCGATTTGAGTTTTTTCTACTTTTTGGAAATTATTTTATTAAAAAAACCAAAATCTAAAGAATTATAATAACCAAGCGTTGTTTCAAGCTCAAGAAAAATATATAAATGAAATATATGAGAATTAAAGATTTTAAGATTTTAATTTAAATTTAAGAAGAAGCCAAAGTATTTTTTTTTTTTTAACCCCAAACACATCGGCTTTTTTGTTTGTAAGACCCTCTTTTTATGGCATAGATTTTGGCTTGATAATTTTTTTTTTCTGTGTAGCTATAATGGCAAGGTGACTTTAGGTGGCTCACCAAAGAGTATGGTCCCGGCCAGCGCATAGAAGAAGACTAGCAGAAACATCCCGAAAATAATGAAGAAGGACTTGCATACAGACACGCCCACGGTCAACATGAGCATCTTCAGTGTGGTGTGCTTGCCGGTGATGGTGAAGAAGCGCAGGATGACCACCATGAATCCAAAGAAGTAGGACAGATCGTTCTACATCAAAAGGATATATATTTTTTCATATATCATATATCACTCAGATGAAGTTTGTGGTGGTGAAGTAATTTGTGTGATTTATTACAGATGATTTATGATAGAGAGACAACATCGAACGTATGTACGTACATCAAGGTTGATTGATTGATTGACAACTTACCCGCAGAATCGTCTGCAGAATGATCCAAATGACACCGGCAACGGTGACCAGTAGGTCATAGCGATTGCGCCTAGATTGCCAATAGCCACGGGGTGTAAAGGCAATGTTCTTCATCACCACCTCAACCACAAAGACAAAGGTCAATACCGCACTGACGATCACCAGGCGTTCCGTATGCACCTCTCCCTTGATCCACTGCAGTTAAAATAATTGTGAATAATATAATTCTCTGGATCACTGGGACCACTGGGACCTCTGGGCACCCCCATCTCAGGTCTGGGCACCCCATTTTGGGGGCCTTTTCTAAGTTTTCTAGTTTCTAATCTCTAACCAAGCCACACACTCTACACAGTCACATCACATCTATGTATATATATTATATATATATGGTCTTATAATATTCCATTGGTTATTATTTTGATTATTTTTTCTTAATCGCAGAAATATATTTGGTTAATATTATATATACTCCTTTGATGGTTATTTTACATAAAGTTCATGCATTGAAATTAAAAGCATACTTTT